CGGGAGGGGCGCGGGCGGCCGTGGAGGCTCTGGGAAACCTCAGCTCTGGCCCTCCTGGGCACCCCTCCCTGGGTTGCTCCGTCCGACCGCAGCTGCGCCTCAGAGGCCGAGCGCCCGATAGCGTCGGAGGGTGAGCAGGAGCACTGGCCATGCTGAGGCCCCAGGCAGTGGTTCTCACGGCTCCTGCTGGCGCTGCCCTGACCGTGCCCTTTCCTCGCAGCAACAGAACTTCAAGCAGAAGGTTGTGGCGCTGCTGCGGAGGTTCAAGGTGTCCGACGAGGTGAGCGGGCCCCTCGCGGCTCTGTGGCCCTCGGCCTCATGCTTTGCTGAGTGGTGCCCACCCCCCGCTGCCCCCATGAGGGTCCTGTGGAATACCCTGGTCCTGAATACACCTGCAGAAAAATCGTCTTTGGGTTTGTTTTCTGTAAACGGAGTTGTTTGAGGGTCACGGCTCGCACGTGTGCACAAGGGAGTGTGTGCACCTCTGGGGTCTGCACCGGCCGCAGTCCCTCTCCCCTGGCCCTCCTTCCAGTAGGGACCCCAGGCATGGGCACACGCATGTCAAGCCCCAGAGCCAGACATCACGGTCGGCCAGGGGGATCCAGCTCCCTAGGCTCGGTGCTGTCTGGGGCCAGCCCGAGTCACGGCCGTGTAGAGCGCGTTTTAGGTTGAGCAGAGCCAAGCAGAAAGCAAGGAGGGGTCCGCGATCCCTGCCCCAAACGCGGCTGCCCGCTGGCGAGACGCCGTGGGTTTTCTGTTTCCACTCCCATGAGCGCGAGTGATTTTTATAACAGAAGGAAAGCACCTTGGCTCTCGTTCAAGTGTGCTTGCGGGTTTTCCCAGGGGGGAGTCGGTGTCCCAGCAGGGTCTTAATGCCACGACCCGTGCCCGGCCGGCCCAGGAGGTGGCGCATGCGTACGGGAGGGTGTGCAGGTGCTTGAGCGCTGGCGGCACCCCCTGCAGTTGGCAGCTGAGGCAGCCTTGGCACCACGAGCACACCCTCCCAGGTCACGTGGTGCCCACCAGCCCAGCAGCAGGGAGGGCGGCTCCGAGCCCCAGGATGGCCAGCACACGCCTGCCTTGCTTCCCCCTGGGCACGCGCATCCCCAGTTCCGCGGAAAGTGGATGCGGAGCCCAGGGCGCTCACTGGCCTGCGGCCTTGCGGACCCTCCTGAGCACCTGGTGCTGCCTGCGATCCTGACCAGGGCTCTGCACACACGCTTGGCTCTGACTTCCAGGGCCCACGCCGTGGAAAACGCCTAGCACGGGACGTGTTTGGGGCGGGCTGTCCCCAGGCCTGGTCAAGTGCGTGTAGGCTGCCATGCGATCTCATCTCTGACTTGCCTCATGGCGCTCCCTGTCCTGTGAGAGCCAGAAGCTCTCAGACCAGCTCTGCACCGGGCACCATGCCCACCCCAGCCAGGTGTGAGCGGCGCTGAGGGCAGGGGCTCGCCAGGCCGGGCTGCTCCTGGGCTGTGTGGGCTACAGTAGCAGGGGACCTTCGGCCTGATGGCTGGGCTTTCTACAGCCAAAACGTATTCCTCATTCCTTGGGAGGCCGAAGCCCGAGCTGACAGGCTTCAGGGTGGCCCCTCCTTGCCCAGTGTAGACCGGAACGGGCTCCTCCAGCCTCTTCTGGAGAGCACCAGTCACTCCCGAGGCCCCGCCCATGGCTGCCAGCACCTCGGGGATTAGATTTCACATGAATTCGGGGACACAGGATGCTGCTCCGGCCACCCACGTTCACACCCTCCACACATGCAAAATGCACACGTTTAATCTTGGTAGCACTGCTGTCTTCACGTGTCCCTGCGCATACCCTGAAGCTTGTGTGGTGGGGGACCAGTAGTTGGCGTAATGGCTGTGTCGTTGGACTCCCATGTAGTCGACTGCGGTTCGAGTCCCGGACCTGGTGGCTTAAACTCACGCTGGGAGCGTGTGCGTGCGTGCCCAAGATCCCGCGAGGAGAATGGAGGAGAAGGGATTGCGGCATGGCCATCCCCCCTGGGGGGTGATTTCTCGCTTTCTGTCTCTCTGTCTCTGTCTGTCTGTCTGGCGAGTGCACGCGCCCTATAGCAAAAACCTCTCCCCCCGCCCCCCAAAAAAGAACAAAAAAACACACAAAGTTGGCTTGATGGTTAGAGCTGGACTCCCACAGGCCCACTGCAGTTGGAGTCCTGGACCTGGTGACTTGGAAATCACACCAAGCACCTGTGCGTGCCCAAAATCCCGGAAGGAGAGTGGAGGAGGCATTGCAGCATGCCGCTCCCCGGGTGGACTTCTCGCGTCCCCTCTCTGTCTCTCTTTGTGTCTCTCTGACAAGCAAATGCACCCTAAGGTAAAAACCTTCAAGAAGAGAGTAAGTCTGAAGTCTCGTTTCAGTCTCATCTAGACTAGTGGAGCTGGACTCAGTGCTGGTCATTCCGAAGCAGATTCCCCTCAGGCCAGCAGGCGGCTCAGTGGCCAGGGCGCTGGACACTCCCACATGGCCAACCACAGTTCAAGTCCTGGACTTGGTAGCTGGCTTTCTCTCTTTCTCTCTGTCTATCTCTCTCTCTGGTCAAATTAAAAAAAAAAAAAGAATAAATAA